TCGATAAAACCTGCTTATCGCTATTACTATTTATTAAAGCAAATACATAAATTACATTTAAAATATATAAAATTTTGTATATTTATTATTACTATTTATTAAAGCAATATATAAATTATATTTAAAATATATAAAATTTGCATTATAATATTTATTGCATTTATCGCTATTATGTCACGATAAATCAATTTTAATTTAAAAAAATCAGGCAACTGATTTTTGTTCGTCATAAAAAAAAAATTCAAAAAGAGCTTCTAATTGCCAGAACCTCAATTAAATCCTCCTAGCAATTGGTAATCCTTTCTAAATTCTTAAAGAATCCAGAAAGAACTACCAATTGCTAAAAGAATCTAAGAATCCAGAAAAATCACCAAAAATTGTTAGATGAATTTCTGAAAACCATCAAAAAAATGCTAAAAATTCCAAAAATCCAAAAAGAAATACCAAAAAGTTATCAGAAGGACCTCCAAAAGCCGCTAAAAAAAGTTCGAAAGTACTAAAAATTCAGAAAGAATATTTAGAAAGAACCTCCAAGAATATTCAAAAAATATCAAAAAACACTAGAAGTACTGAGAATCTAGAAGAAACACCAAAAAGCCAAAAAAAATGCTGGAAGTATCAAGAATCCAGAAAGAACTTCCAAAAATCATCAGAAGAACCTTCAAAAAATACCAAAAAATGCTGGAAGTACCAAGAATCCAGAAAGAAACACCAAAAAGTTGTCAGAAGAATCTCTAAAAGCCACCAAAAAATGCTAAAAGTACCAAGAATTCAGGAAGAATATCTAGAAAGAACCTCTAAGAACATTCAAAATTCTTTAAAAAATACTGGAAGTACTGAGAATCAAGAAAGAAACACCAAAAGTAATCAGAAGAAACACCACAAAACACCAAAAAATGCCAGAAGTACCTTCAAAAGCCACCAAAAAATGCTGGAAGTACCAAGAATCCAGAAAGAACCTCCAAAAGTTGTCAGAAAAACCTCCAGAAGCCATCAAAAAATACTGGAAATATCAAGAATCTAGAAAGAACCTCCAAAAATTATCAAAAGAACTCCAAAAGCCGCCAAAAAATGCCAGAAGTACCAAGAATCCAGAAAAAAACTTTCAAAAGTCATCAGAAGAATCTCAAAAGCTGTTAAAATCGCCAAAAGCACTGAATAATAAAATCTCTGGTGTGTTACATAAGGAATAGTAGCTCTAAAAATCTCCCTTTTTGAATCATCATGATCTTTTTTGACAATTCTAGATCTAAGATATAAGATTGCATATTTCTACCAATGCCTTCATTTTGTAAAATATTACCACGTTGAAAGTCTGTGTGAATGTATTGCCAATAATCCAGAAAGAAACACCAAAAAGTTGACAGAAGACCCTTCAAAATTCGCCAAAAAATGCTAAAAGTACCAAGAATCCAAAAAAAACCTCGAGAAAGAATCTTAAAGAACATCTAAAATTTGCTAAAAAATGACGAAAGTACCGAGAATCCAGAAAAAAACACCAAAAAGTCATCAGAAGAACCTCCAAAAAATGCTTTAAGTACCAAGAATCCAGAAAGAATCTTGAGAAAGAGTTCCCAAGAACATCCAAACTTTGCCAAAAAATGCCAAAAGTACCAAAAATTCAGAAAGAAACACCAAAATGTCATCAAAAGATCCTTCAAAAACTGCCAAAAACACCAAAAGTACAAGAATCCAGAAAAAATATCTAAAAGTTTCCAACAAATGCCAGAAGTACCAAGAATCTAGAAAGAACCTCCAAAAAGTCATCAGAAAAACCTCCAAAAGCTACCAAAAAATGCCAAAAATACCTAAAAAGCTTCAAAAATCATCAGAAGAATCTCTAAAAGGAACTGAAAATTGTCAGAAAAACCTAAGAATCCAAAAAGAACTACTGCAGAATAATGAAAAAACATCACTATTAAATAAATAAAACTACATTAAAGAGAAGCTACGTAAACTAAACTTTAAACAATGAAGAAACTACTATTAAAAATAAAAAATATCACCATAAAGCAATAATCTAAAAAAAAAACAAAAAAGAAGAGAAAACACGAAGAAACCAAAAAATATCTATCTAAA